TGACTCCACTCAAACCTCATCCTCTTCCAATAACTATCCACGCCCTTCTTCTCCCAGTGTCTCCTCTCAAAGCGCTCCTCCTTGAACAGTTCCGCCAGTTGCCCGCTGCTGATGGCGCCGAATTTCCATTGTGCGTACTCTTCAAAGTCTAGCCGGGACATGGCGACGAAGACGGGTTGTGTGGAGGCGCTGAACGGGGAGTGGTAGCGTGGTGTTGTGTAAGTTGTTAGGTCGTTGTGGATTAGGGTTAGTTTTTCGGTGGTTGTTAGAGGGCGAGAGGGGGTTTCTTGGATGAGGTTTCAGAGGAGCCAGTTGGGGAGGGGGGTGCGTGGTTTGGGTGGTGGGGTGGTTGGGGTTGAGAGGGACATTTTGGTTGTGTTTTTTGTGGTTGTGAATTGATGGGTCGGTTTGGAAATTGTTGAATAGGTGTTTAAGAGGTCTTGACAAGCGTGGAGAGTTGTTGTGTCTAGAGGAAAAAGAGAAAAGGAATTAGAAGGTGAGGATAATGGTGTAGATCGGAATTCACCAGATCGGCTAGCCTTTCCATTGAGGGTGGTGGTGAAGTTTTGTCGTTGGGAAGTTAAGCGAGGGGGCAGGTTTTGGAGATCAATGGGAGTGCAATGTTAGAAATTTTTCCAATGAGCTCTCAAGCAACAGAAACGATTAAACCATTATACGCTAAAATAAAATAAAAGGTACAATACTTGTTAAAAAGCTTTTATTTAATATTATTGCAAATCTTTGGAGAATTTAATAAATATAAATGTAAATCAGATTACTTATGATTCTATTGCTATTTCCTGTTCACAGAAGTGTAAATCGCATAAGCTATCAAAGTATTCACAAGGAAAATGGTGTCTCAATCAGTTGAATTCCCGATTATCTATGTTATATCTTTATAACCTCTTAAATGCGGGGTCTTTTTGAACGAGGATTAAGCACCCTAAAATTTCTTACATCAAGTTATGCACCTATATCAAGAAGCTTATCTAAACTTAGTACAGACAACTAGCTTGTAAAAAGTTTTATAAACATGGGTGATGTCTCATGGCTTCTCTTTGTCTTACCTAGCACCAGAGGTTTTCAACAAAGCAACAAAGGCATTGTTCCCGAAACATGAAAGCAAGACAGGTAAGCAGTATCGAGTACCAAACAATAGTTCAGAACAACAAGTACAATGATGATAAGAAAGAGGGCCCTCGTAGTAATGTAGCTTGGTCAACCAGGTCCAATTTTGGATTATTGCGTTGACTTGTATTATACTCTGCCAGTTTTTGTTACAAACTTTCAGCAATCATCTTCTTTATCATTCCAAAAATCTTGAAATGGCGCGTAAGTTTCTGAGGAATCTGTACCATACGCTCGGTAGACCCAGACAACTCACCCCCGATGAAATTTCTTGGTCCCTCGACGCAGAGTTCGAACTCAGTTCGAGCACAAGCTCCCCTGATGGATCTAAACTATTGAACGGAATTGGGTGTACTGAAACCCTCGAGTCTGTTGATTTCCCTTCTCTTAATCTGCACTTCGATGAGCAAGTTGAAGTACTCTTCCATTTCAATGATTACTTAGACTTCTGGGAAGTTGATGAATCAGACTTCGCCTATCCAGGTCTTTCACTTCTGGGGTTTTTTAGAGAACCGTCTCCAGTTGATGATTTGAAAGTTGAACTTAGCACAGAGAATTCTGATTTGTGGGACGTTATTAATCTCGAGAGCCGGTGTGCGAGTGATCTAGAGGAAAGATTGCGTAAAATCCTCGAAGATGCAGAGGAGGAAACCCAGCGAGCCGCCATTGTGTATCGTTCGGGTACAGAAAATGATCCTGGCTCTGCTGAATATATCAGGGATTCCATAGATATTTCTTGGAGAAGCTCTATGGGTGACATTGCAGATTCCTATTGGCGAGGCTCGATTTAGAATCCGTCGTTCTGATTGGATTATGAAGATAAATCACTGGAAGTTTGTACCACCAGGGGGCGTCAGAATTCTGGGCGCAGCCTTGGATTTGAGCCGAAAACACACCAAAAACGCTCTACTTTACTAAATTATAATAAAATAAAGGGCAATCTTAACAGCTTCTAATTAAATTCTATAGTAGAGACATATAACAGCTATAGCTTGTACTATTTAGTATTTTAATAATAGGGACTCTACCTAAGTACTATTAGACTAGTAAATTTACTAGGGAATTTAGTAAGAGAAAACTTTCTACTAGAATATCTCCTAGAGGATTAGGTTTCAGAGAAAACTTTCGCATATACACCTTATCTATATACTCTAGAGAGTTAATATATAAACTATTACCTGTAGTTTTAAGACGAATTTCGAGAGTTATAGCGTTGTGAAAACGTAGTTTTTGGTGTGTTTTCGGCTGAAATACGGGACTGCGCCCAGAATTCTGACACCCCCTGGTGGTACTTCATTAGGAGGCTGAATGTGGGAAGTTCTGCGCTAATCATCGGGTGAGCGTGCTAAACGAAGGGACTGTCTAGGACACCATTATTAGGCCTCCACCTGTAACTATAGTACTCATTTGAAACCCCTGTAACAAAATACTACACATTTACCAAAACATATTATAAGTGAGACTGCAGTATCCTATTTATGAAGTAAATGAATTGTATACAAGACAGCAGATTACCTTCACTTAAATAAGAGAATGTAACTTGGCCACTAATATCAAAACCTCCACCACTTTACTGTTCCATACTATACTCATCCTCAAAGCTTCAACAAAACTGTTCTGTATAAACATTCTAATTTAACGAGTGTGTCCACTGAGATACCAGTTATTGCTCTGGCTCCTACTTCATTAACGCTCCCAATCTATTCCATGGTCATTGGCATAACAAGTCCTGGAAGCTCCTTGATCCCTATCATACAATTAGCATGCCTCAATTGCAAATTCAGAAATGATATACTTACATCCATCACGATCCTCAACAACTGCCGGTGTAACAGAGCACTTCTTAGCGTTGTCGACAGTCTGAGTCTTGAGACTTGCACAAGAAGCACCCATACAGTTGGAAGTATCCATAGCCTTTTGAAGAGCGTTGTCCTTCCATCCGAAAACGTAATCAGCGTGTTGCCCGTAGCCAGTTGGATCTCCGGTGCTGAGAACAAAAGGTTGGCTTCCATCTGTTGGCCAATCATCCTTGTTGTTGAACTTTGTGGTATCCCATACAACTTCGTACATCAATTGTGGAATTCTGACGGGGTGGGTTGATGGGCAGTCACCACCGAGACTGAGGAAGGTGGCTGGTCCGGTCTTGGGGTAGGCGACGTGATCTTGATGATTCGGGCTGTCAAGATCCTTCCCATTCCAGCATCTTGGTGTATTGTTAGTATTATGGTGGAGGAAGCGTGATACATGATGAAGCTTACGTTGGGAAATGAACATTGGAACGGATGCCACCAGGACATGGCTTTGAGGGAAATGCCTCAGTATCAATCCTTGCTCGTCATTAGCTTTGAAGTTATGAGGTGCTCGAAAGAGGGACAAACTTAGCATCTTGACATGGCGCAGAGACATCTCCTCCAAAGTTAGGGCCAGTGTAGCAACGGAAGCAATTTTGTCTCTTTAGTGAACTATCTTTTCTTGAACGTGACATTGGATCACCAACGAGCATACGGAAACCTGGCTTGAATGCGGTAATTGACCCTGGCTTAGCCGAGACGTAGTAAACCAAGACACCATCTTTCATTGTGTTGCTGAACTTATCGTTGAATTGTAAACTGCGAAAATGTTAGCAGGTGTCATCTAATTTATGCGTTTAAGGAAATGAAAACTTGAATAAGGGGGTATTGTTGGTGGTCAACTAGCAATAGCATGAGAACAATATATGACGAGCTCTCCGAGGGATTTTGAAAAAGAATGTCGCTAAACTTACGCAGCACCACCTTGAGGAACACGTTTGTAAGTGCCATTTCGGGCTTTGAAGTATACGTTAGCTGTCCAGTAATTCGAGAAATCGTCGGCGAACGAGCAGGTGGTACAAGACGCGGTCTTGGCAACATCACCCGTTGTCATTGAGACATTAAATCCGTTTCCTCCAACAATCTGATGAACGTGGGGAGATGGTGCTTGACCAGGGTTGACAAGAGGATCGATTCTGTCGATAACGAGTTGAGGACAACCGAATCGCAACATCGTAGTTCCACCTTGTCGTTTGCCATATTGTGAGTGCTCTGGGAGAGCCTCAACGAGCGCCGTAAAGGCGAGGAGAGCCGTGAAAAGCATCGTGATATAACTAGATGTGATGATAATTGAATCGATATCTGTTAGAAGGGCCGGCAGATTATGACTTGAGGGTTCGCCTCCTTTTGAAGGAAAGTCCAAGGCCCGGATACACTGCCTCCACGAACTGCCGTCGTACCACGACAAGTCGAATCGACGAGTCATGCGACAACTGGTATATTGACAATATGGAGATAGTCATGTTGTAGCCAATCTCTGTGACTTGCCTAGTCGTGATGCACCCCATGAAATATCTCCCGCTTAAGTCCAAATTAACCCTTTTACCCCACTGCCCAAATGTACCGCAAATCAAGTTCAGCCCTTGCATATAGGTCGATCCGTTCACCCATTTATCCCATGAAAAATTGATTGTTCTATCCATGTAAGCTATGTGGCCGTCCAAGTTTGTTTACGCAAACCCCCTTCCTGCCGTTTTTGGCCACTTGATACTTTAATTTTGACTACTATCCGTTCGGCCGCGGGACCATGTGAGTTGAAGAAGCCGAATTTAAAGACTTTTCAGCCACCATAAAGCAGGATCATTACTGCTTTTGGAAGTTTCGGCTTTGCAAGTCTCTCATACTTGTGTGGAAGAGGTACTTCAGGGTATCTTATATGTAAGATATGTGATACCCGCTTCGCGGGGACTTAAAAGAACCACGAGGCAAGTCTGACTAAATCTTGTGCTTCTAGAATCATTCCTTTGGCAGGGACCTCGTGATTTAGGATCCCGAAAGATGAGCACGAAATGAGTAGAAGAAAGGCCGAATATACAGTAAGCATTCAAGAAAAGTCGAAAAAAGAACCGGGGCGGCGTAGGCTTTTGAAATGACGGGGAAGAAATTGTTTCGTTACTTGCTAGCACATAAATCGAGCATTGAATTTAAATAGAACAGCCTGTCTGTATGATACCCTTCATGGACAGTACAAATAAACTGGGGTAATGTAATCTATTGTAATAGAGAGGTTTATCTTGGTCTTAGCAGTGGCACTGTTTCCGGAAACTTGGAAAGGGTCATGATATTTTTGGCAGCTGAGTCCGCCATGTATCTCTGATTCGGCCTGCAAATAGAAATTTAGTTGTCGTCTCAGGGTGGAAGATAGGGGGCGCACTTCAAAATTATCAACAGCCCCATCAGCCTGAAGGAGCTCAGATGACAGTGGCGGAGATAGGATGCTCAGGAAGCATTAAGGAGTTTAATATTATAGTGCCGAATGTTAAAGATTCAAATAAAATGACCAGTTGACGATTAATTAATGTGATCTCCCGAACCTCTAGCTCCATCAACACTACCGCTTTGGATAATTCGCTTCTACTCATTCTGTGATTTTGCTTACACTGCCTTCCTTCATTGGGACTGGATCAGTGGAATCAGTGACTGACACTTTCTCTCCGTTCAAGGGCAAGATATTACTTCTACAGCTGCTCTGTTGAGGAATAGTATACTACCCAATGTACCCATCAACTGGTATGTCTTCCCTTGGAACCTGATTTGTTCATTGTACTTGTTTCCTTTTAAACAGCTGTGTTAGAAAGTGTAGAACGACCCCGGTATCGCAACTCCACCTCGACCTCATTGCGAAATGGAGAAAGCAAATCAACAACCACTTCATTATTACCGACAACGCATGATGGGCCCGGAAGTTTGAGCAGAAGCAACACAATCTATGAATGAGGCCATAAGAACTTTCAAATCATCTAAGAACCTTTAACCCTGACTGTAACTGCCTTCTCAACTGCACTGAGGATAGAGTCCTCTGAATAGCAGTACATGATACTCTTAGCTTCTAGAAGCCATCATGTGTTAATTTTGGTACATATTATTCATAAAACAGTATGACACAATTTCTAAAGCCGCTCTTACTCGATCAGAATTTGAATCTTAGGATGCTAACATGGTTATTCTCTCCAGCTTTCACTTGCGAAGAAATCATCATCGGAAAATAGTCGGAGGAAACTTGCAGTAACATTGAGGGACCAAAATAGAGAAGATTTAAAGCCTATAACTTAATTTTAGAAGTCTATCAAATTTTCATATTGCTATTTTGGTGGATAAAGTAACTGGAGAGTTGTATGGCAATATCACGTGGGTCAGTGTACAAATCAGTGACGCTTATCCTGCTTTTTATTGCAGATAAATTCACTTAAATATTATTATGAGACTGAAATGAGTGATAAGTGAACCTACTCAACCAGCTCAGGTAATTCCAAGAATATTTTCACTAGTAAGCATGTGACCGGACATTTTCCGCGCATTTGTTTACTTTGCTCTCAACCATCGATCCCTTGGAATAAATCTCAACAAGAAGCTAGTGTATCTTAAAATTACCGTAGCAATGTTATGCGGACTAATGAATGCCCAACTGCGCCAGTCTGCTCGAACAATACAGCTCTAAGGGGCATTCATCTAAAATCCGATCAAGGAATTTGGAGCTTTGCAATGCTGAAGCAGGACGAAATAGAAGACTTCAAATTTTCAAGGCATCAAATTAGTTTCATGTTGTTCAGACTTGCTCCCCGGTATATAGCGCTACTTTTTGATCAATATCTGTTACAAAGTTAATGTTCAATCACTGATAATGAGCGGATCCACTCACAAACTAAACAACTCCGAAGAACCCGGCCTTGCTACATCATCACAATCTGTCGTTCGCAAGCTGCCAAGCTGTATAGTAAGCAAAACTAGGTGCGAAATAAGGATTGTTCGTACTTCGTGGGCTCTGAGTGGCTAGAAGTTCTTTACCACAGTACTGTAGTGTAAGATTACCCCGCCTCCAACGCCAAGGCTGCCGCTCATCTGAGTCATCTAAGAGGGCGTATATGTTGATTGGAGCATAACAATTTCATATAATAACTCCACTGCCCTTATTCTTTCTTAGTAGGACATCTAGCAATCAGTTTTAGCCGAAGAAATACTTTACAGTTTATTTTCATCAAGACATGGCTTTAAACCATCTCCCTCCTGCCACTGGAAAAACCATACAAACACCAGACGGTGTCAAATATGTATATGCATACTCGGCGGCAGCGGCGAAGAAGCCTACTTTCTTGCTTCTTCATGGATTCCCAAGTTCAAGTTACGACTGGCGTCATCAAGTCAAAAAACTCTCAGAGCTCGGTTACGGTGTGATTGTACCAGACTGTACGTAGAATGACCATTCGTTTCCTGTGCTAGAGATTGAAGGCAGGATTCATCCAAACACGCCACTTCTAGCGCCTCAACTTTTGAGGGGGATGTATGCTAAATCTTTGCAGTGCTTGGATATGGCGATACGGATAGTCCGACGGACTTGGAGAGATACAAAATGAAGAAGATGGCTACGGATGTTTCACTGATCTTGGAAAAAGAGTCTTTAGACACTGTCATTGGGGTGGCACATGATTGGTACGCAATTCTTTTCCCTCCCATTTAGAAAAGTAACACTAACTTTAGGCTTCCAAGGGGCGTCGGCATCTTATCCCGGCTGGCCAACTACTTCCCGGAAAAGTTCTCGGGCTTTATATTTGTGTCCGTTCCTTACATAGAACCTGGCCCATTTCCTCTGGGTAATATTCTCGAGCCTCATAAGTAATTTTGTGTCTTGCTAATTAGCAAAAATTGCGTACTATTCAGATGCTATCAACGCTATGACAGAGCAGAATTTTGGCTACACGACTTTCGGATACTGGCCTTTCTTCAATGAAGATGATGCGGCTGATATCTGCGATAAGAATGTAGGTGAAGACTCTGATATTGAAAAACATTGGCTGAAGAACAACAGCATACCTCATTCACATCTCTCGTCTACCCACAGACCCATGAGATGTGGAAGACAGAATTTGCACCATTGGGGGCTTGCAAAATCTGGGTGACATCGAATACATTGAAGCCCCTTCCAACTTGGTTTCCTGAGTCTGAAGCAGCAATTCACGCAAAAATATTCTCCAGAAATGGTTATCGAGGACCGCTCAATTGGTATGTTTTGATTCTTAATCGACTGACTTGTCGTCACATTGACTGACCTGATTACAGGTATAAGACAACAATGCGTGGACTTAACATAGAAGATGAGGCTCAAATCCCGGAGGAAAATAAAATTATTAACAGCCCAACTTTGGTCGTTGTTACCGACAAAGATTATGTCTGTCGCGCCGAAGCAGCACATCAGATATTGCCTAAAAGCATACCTAACCTTGCCATAAAGACGATCTTAGGATGTGGTCATTGGCCCACATTGGAAGCAAAAGACGAGACCAATGAAATATTGATCAAGTTTGCTGCAGTGATTGAAGGTAGAGAAAAGCTGGGCGACATCTAGCGAGAGAGATGAGAGGTGTTGCCTCTGTGCTATGGTAACCCTCAAATCCACCCTTACCATTATGGCAGTCACAAATATGATAATCCATTCCATAATACGCATTTTTCATGTCTTGAGAGGGTATGGAACGAGTGGGGTAGCGGGTGTGGAATGAGGAATAAGGGGTGGAATATAGGCTGTCAACACTATAACAATAGCTAATTTATATGAAGGACTGTGCCCCTAGGCCCTCTCTACTTTCTTAGTACCCTAAGACTTTGTCCCAGGCAAAATAAATATAGGTTTTTTAGGGTGGCTATAGTTAGCAACAAAGTAAATACTTTTAAAAAACCTATATTTATTTTACTTAGGACAAAGTATATTTACTCTTGTTTAATATAAACGCTACTAACCCCGCTATATCGCCTTTACTAAAAAAGGACGTAGTAGTACGAGAGTTAGTTCCGGACATAAACTAAAAGTAAAATAATTATATTTAGGAATAGCTTCGCTTTTTGTTTAAGTATGAAAGACTTGCGAAAAGTTGTTATTTTATACTTTAATTACAGGGTTGCTTTATTTACATTCTAGGCGAGGGGTGTATTATAATTAAAAGTCGACTCTTTATATTAATTAAAGTAACGAATATTTCGGAAGTCAAAAATTGATCAATTGGTAGGAGAATTCCATCATGTGGTCTAATTGATGAATTACCTATGGTATTAATCAAATAGTCGATTTGAGGGTTACCATAGCACACCTCAAGTAGGGATGGGCATAAGTCTTGGCAATGATGGTAAAAATGATGGTAAAAGAGCGAGAGGTTATCTTTACTGCTCAAATTGACTCACTCTAGTCTTTGAGTACGCATTAAACTCACAAAAGTGTGCTCCTGATATCGAATCTATCTTTCCTAGAAATACTTGCGAATTCCTCATTTATTATCATTCTAACATCTTGTATTTCTAGTCACAGTCACGAAAGGTCATGTCAGAGCTGTCCCAATTGAGCAATTATCTACCAGCAACGACCAAGCGGTCCAAGTCTATCAAGCTGGTTGTATGGAACGCAAGGAACAATTATTGGGCTTGAAAAGCTCTTTTGGCGATTATATGAACAATAGCATTGTTTGTCTTTGTTCTCTTTCCTCATACAAAGGCTCATTGGAGAAAAGCTCCGCAGTTGTTTTGCACGCGACCTGCAATAAAATCCAGCAAAGGAATATTGAATTGTTGCCTCTTATGGTAACAAAGCAAGAATACATTAACAACAATCATACTCATTCATTCCTGAATCAAGAACAATTGCATTTTGCACTATATTTGAGATGTGTGAAACCTCGTTTAAAAACCACAACTCGCACCCTTTTCCTCACACACTCACACCTACACACACATTTGCACACGCAGTCTCAGAGTTTACACAAACATCTTCAACAGATCATAATGTCTGCCAACACCTCTGTAGTTTCAGCTCCAGCTTCCGAGAAACCGCAAGTTTCCTCGGCTGCTAAGCATGAGGCTACTAATGGAGCAAGTACGAGTGCTCGTCGCCAGGCTATAAAGGCCTACGCGAAGACGCACGGTCGCAAAGAGGAGGATATTCTGTCCCTTATAGACACTCCAGCTATGTCAGCAGAAATAGAAATAGATGCGGAAGTCCTTGTAGAAAAGGATGGTGAACTCAAATGGGCTGACGAGATCTGTGGTGATGAGAGGGTTTACTACAGCGTTATCAATGGACCTAATCCGGCCTGGATAAGTAGGCGACTGTCGGTATCGATATCTCCAATCAGATGGGAGGAGAATGGCATCAAATACGCCATCAACATGGGGGAGGAGATTGTTCGCGGACCGCCCGTCCTCGACGAGGAAGGGGTGCCTCTCAAGAGCACCACCTATGTTTGCATATATGATCCATCCATCGATATCTGATTCGGGTTGACGCTCGAAAATGCTCATCTAAAAACTTTCTGATTCTTGTCAGGAATAAAGGCTTTCTTTCAACGTAACCCAAAAAAACACAAAAACACCATAAAAGGGGCTATAACGTAGTCCGAAGTTCAATAACAAAAAAACAATTTTTCTTTTTAACATTCAAGATTCTTAATATGAACATAGTGCAACGAAATAAAATGATAATAGTGAAAACAGGTGCTGAATGTACAACAGAACATCCTCATCTAACGCTTGATCGCGTAGGGTATTTGGGCAAAAGAATTTACATTAGTTTACCACATCTAACTCAAATCTACAAGCCTTTTGTACTTAATGCCTCGTGTTGATTCGAATTTACGTCATGCGTGAGCGATGCAGTAGATCTATTTTAATATCTCTAACAACTAAGTCTCATGCGACATGCCAAAGCGAGTGTAGCTAGCTAAATTACTGCGTACTTATATGTGCCATAGTACGGTAATCCCAAATGAGCTGAGCGAGCCAGCTAATAATCATTCATTATTATAGAACGACACTCAGAGAATCAGAAAGACTGGATAAAAGATGTTATAGAGTGTAACTACAAAAAGCTCACTGAACGATAAAGCCCTACATTAAATCTTCTCTCGTTCTTGAATTTTTGGTATACCCGCTTAGAAAAGGCTGCAAACTTTGGAAATTCCTCGAAATACTAAGATATTACCATGATCAGAAACATATTAAAAACACCCGATCATTCTCCCTTCTTTCCAAAAACAGGACGTATAGCGGACTCGTATAAAACACACTGTTTCCCAATCTTAGATAAAGAGGAAAAGGCCTGATATCAATATACTGTATAAACAATCTATCTCCTTAAACAAACAGACTAAATGATCTACCATAACTAGAGCACGAAAACCCCCCAGGTCAGGTATAACCAATCCTCACTCACCCAACAGAATAACCTCGCATTCAAAAATGCCGCACACACTCCGCAAACTAGCCTCGTTGGTCGTCAAAGCCCTAGCGCTCAGAAGACGAAGAAACGAGTCAGCAGAAGACAATGCCGTTGAGGTGGAATCAAGAAACTCAGAAGTAGGGGATGATAATGCTTCGACTGACATCAAATATACCATTACTCCTCGTTCCCAAGCCACGGATTCGCAAGGATCGTCTCAGGAGACTCCAATTTTCGATGTATATGTTCACCAGAACGAGTCGGAGGATGTTCCCACGGACACGGATCTAGCTATCCTTTCCAGACTGCTCAATGACCCTCTTGGGGTGCAAAATAGGGGGCAGAATAAGGGTAGGTATATTGTTCATCGAGAAGGTTAATCCAACGGAACTAGAACTGCTAGAATCTGAAGATTCCTTGAAAGTTTTATAGACTTAAAATATCATCTGGATTCAAGTCAAATTGCTAGCGTAATCCTACACCGTAAAGATCCATTAATCACACAAACCCAATGACTAGCTCACATTTCATCCCCACACCCCCCTCCTACTTCTTCTCCGATGTGAAAGCCGTGTAAAGTACCTCCCTATCACTCCATTTCAACTCTCTCGTCCTTCTGACTTCCTCCCGATGACAGCCAAAATACCTCGGCGTTTGAAAGCTTGATAGAAATTTAGCATGATCCAACCAACAATAAAGTTCAATTACCTAAAATGAGCAAGACCCAAAACGACATTCTCGATCCCTCTGATATATCGTCCCACATCTCGATCGACCGCCTCACCCCACGAAGGTAGTTCTGCCAGTGCCAAGTACCAAGCTTTGAAACAGCCACGAAGCAGCACTTGAACTTTGTCGTAGGATTCTTGTACAGAAAGGCCGTGGTGACCGAGTAGCCAGATGATGTTTTCATGATAACCATTTTGCTGCTACTAGTTAGAAAGAGATTATCGAAGAGGTCATGTGCTAACTTCTTCACGATGGTACGATACAGAATCGTTTACCCTTGCACAGAAGCCATCGTCAGCGTAATTAAACTATTTTTGGGGAGTTGATGTGCTTGCAAAGTCTCCATGTCTTGTCCGACTCGCTCTAGTCTTTTCATGGCCGGATGCTCAAATACTTCGTCTGGAATATGAAGAGAGGAGGCCAGCCTGAGTTTTGGAGTTAGATACCTGGCTCTGATGTAGGACTGTTACTTTCGCTCACTCCACTGCAGAGAATAGGGGAGGTATCCCGTTGATATCTGCTTTGTATTCCATGTAACGCCTGAGGCTATCTTTGAGCCCTTTTGATGGTTCAAAGATGACTAAATTCTGTAATGATTTGATGTAATGTAGTAGATGGTCTAACCAGCGAGTAGTAGCGCCAAGTGGATACTCCGAATTCTGGAATGTGTTAACGTTTGAATCAAAGGCTTATTAGATAGACTCTTACCTCTAGGAGTCTATTATGAATATCTGCCAGGACAATCTTCAACGGCTCGGAACTAGGTGGAAATTTATGTTTCCGTTGAGGATTAGTGAGAACAGACATCATGTCACTTGCGTACTCAATTCTCTTTTTATAATCCAGTCTCATCGGTCCCTCATCAAACACTATTCATCTTAGTGGACGTAAATTAATATATAACTAAACATACGATCATCAAACAAAAACACCTGTTCTAACTTAGTCAAGATCCCAAGCTACATACATATTCAGAACATCACATCACACACTTACCCAAACAATAGAGTCAGCAACCACTCGCAACCTCTCCTCGCTGACATCAGGAACCATAATCGCAGGCCAGGATCCAAAGTTCACTCGATGGAGCTTATCGATCTGTTGCCTGTCATAACCACATATTCTGCTCTCCCAAATTAGCGTGGGCGCTACTCTGAAAAGGCTGGCAGGAAACTCGCCCAGCTATCCACTCAACGGATTGCTCCGTGACGGTTTTGTAATTTGGATGTACGATTGGGACACGAGACATCCATCTTTCAAAGAGATCGGGCAGCTTCAAAGTCTCGGAATGGCGTTCACGGAGAGTGATGGTCTTGAGTAGTCGGGATTGTGAAAATGCGATTGGGGACCTTGTCTGCTTCGCAAAGGGTATGACATGACTGCGAAATGGGCGTGATAGAACCCCAAACTGAGATTTTGAAATCGAGGATGCTATCATACTGTCTTGATTCAATTGTTAGGTGTGGTCTCGTGGATTTGGGACTCTTCTGTGCGACGATTTACCAAGGCAGTTAGCGCCAAACCCGCCAGAGCCATAAACCCGCCTGAGCACCCTACATTCGTTGAACATGCGTGAACATGCGTCATATAAAAACTTAATAAAAACAGATATCAACCGGTTCGTCCTTCCTCTAGGCTGTCGCTTAAGGTCGGTGGAAGCAATTTTAAAGCGGAAGCAAGTGTGACATGCACGCGAATATAGCTCTTTCCTATAATACAGCGTTACTTCCGCCGGTCGGAAAGACACACAAAAAGACAGATTTATAGGTATCATTAATTACTATTGTATACTGCTCTACACGCAAGGAATACTTCTTTAGATATAATTCATATATAATAAACCTCTATGATTTTCGATATCTCAACGCGCTAAAGTTGTATATACAGTACCTTATACCTTACACCTTAACCCTGAGATATTTTTTTCATAGTCTCGAAGCTCTACCGCTAACGTTATTCTAACAAATTATTACTAAAATCAAAAATTGAAAATGGTATTTGAGTTATACTTATCTTTAACAGTATACAAGTCCCCTTACCCCCCCACACACAAGAGGAAAGAAAAGTACCAACCCATACCCACATACCAATTACATGAATAGCCATAAGTATACAAACTCAGCGGCTGCGGGGGAGGGTTTGTATCAGAGTCACGGGGGTGTTGTTTGTTTGATAAAGGGGCGGAGGAGGGTAGTATGGGGGGTGTATTTGTGTCGATGAAAGCTGAATTTGAAGGGGAGAATACAGTACTCAGGCCGAGAAGACGGAGATTAGAGGAGTAGGTTGGTGAAATTCTTTTTAGATATGCTGGTTAGGGACACTGTCTACTTCCCCTCAACAAAGTGGTTTCCATACAACGCAAAAAGATCGGGTATAAAACATCAAGACAACCACATACAAGACAATCTCTCCACTGCCTTACATCCCCTTCCTCAAATATTGATCAATGATCAACACACGCACTTCTCAAATCTCCTGCTCTGCCTTCCCAACGATAGGAGGTGTCCCCGGACTAGTCCCCAACGTCGAATCCGTCTCGACACTCAACCCCCGTCCAAGCGGACTCCCCTTTCCCCCCATCGCCTCCCCTCTGACCCTCTGCAACGGCCTCCTACTCTTCCTAGACGGGCGATAAGGGCTCACAGACCCCGAAGGATCCACGCTTGGAAGGGGTGTGGGGAAGTTACTACTTCGTTGCAGCCAAGGACCAGAGGTATCACGTCTCTGTCCATCCATGGTTGGAGGCAGCCAAGTAGGCGTACTAGTCCGCGAATAGGATTTCACATCGCCCTCTTCGAACGGTGTTGATCGATGCTCGTCAAAGTCGCCAAATCGCATGCGTCCTAGGCTGGGGGAGGGGTAGCTTGTTTGTTGTTGGTGCTGGTATTCTTCTCCGTGGAGTTTGACGGGGCTTTCGTCGTAAGGGTCGAATCCTACTTTTCGACGGGCTTCGTAGCGGGTTTGACGGCGGTGATCCGAGTCGGAACCGCCTGTGGATGAGGACTCGGAGAGGAAGAATACGAGGAGTTGATCGGGGATTGTGAGGTGGGAGACTTGTTGGAATTGTTGGAGGGCAGTTAGACGAATGAGCATTTCTAGGAGTGAGAGAGAAGAGCGGATTTGGCCGAATGGTGTGCTGGTTGTTGGTACGCCTGAGTTAGGTGCATCCCCTCTCGACGCATTGCGGTCGGCAAACTTTCCTGTGAATGGAGATGGGGTTGGCGAGTATTCTGGACGTTTTGGTGTTGGTGCGACTTTGTTGTTTTTATTTGGAACTGGAGATAGACTGAATTTCCCCAGACTGCCAGTCAAGATTTTCTCATTGGGGGACTGAGCCTTGGACGCCAATGGAGAGGAATCTGCTACAGATTCGAGTTCATCCTCGTCTTCAGAGAAGTCATCAGCCTCGGTATAGACTTCCAAAGCAAACCATTCTGGATCCAAGTCTGGTGGGAAACGCCATGTATGACTATCCTCTTGATGTCCGTAATTTTGTCCCACGGCTAGGCTCTCCCGCTTGATTTGCTTATCAATATCATCTTGCGAATCGTTTCCTTCATCATCCACACCACCTGGGACGACCAGCTCTTCTGGATCCCCATATAAGTCAAGTGCACTCTCATCGTGGTCCATCATTCGATTTGGCAAAGGTGCGTTTGTGTCTCGTTTCAATAACAAGACTGGGCTGTTTGTTTCACCAGGATTACCAATATTAAGAATCTTCCCCGTGTCGGCATAAAAGATTTTCGAGATCTGGTGTATTGGAATGACTTCTCGAATACCAGCTAAAGCAATGCCCTCGTATGGTCCCGGTTGAAGTTCATCATCATCAAAGTTGTGCACTCTATCATCGTCCAAGTCCTCGATAATTTGAATCCGATATGCATAATCACTTGCCCTATCTTGGTCTGATACTGTCGATGGTCCTCTACCTTCTCGAAAGGTGGAGGTCAACAGTGGCGACGCAGAAGTCAAAGGTATACGCAAAAGTCTTATGTGTGCTTTGTGAATGACCTCCTTCCATTTCATATTTTTCTCATCGTGTCCATTTCGGGTATTGGCCTTTGGGCCCATCTCCTTAGGATCTTGTCCCTGATCAGTAGGAGCATGGCCTGCAAAGAGCATATATAGGGTCAAAATCAAGGTTGGCCCGATTTGGGTTGCCTTGGTTGGGTTTGTAGAATATTGCCAGTCACCGTGGGTTAACAATGTACTTGCCTGCATGAGTCTTGATGGCGAGACAGTGTTAGGGAGAGTAGCCGACAGACTCGCACCGGAAGTCGAAATTGCGAGATTGATGAGTGGTACTGCATCTTCGATTCGCGCGAGGAGAGCTCGGATATCCTTGACGATATTTCGAATTTCAGCATCATGTAATGCCTTTGTCTTCGCCCGAGTACTCTTCTTTCGTGATAATTCCTCGGCGGCAGCAGCTTTTTCTAATCTTGTACCAAGTTGTTGTATATCCCAACGTAGAGCTTTTGTCAAAGTGACAGCAGACTCTAAAGTGGTGTTGCCTCTAGCGGAGCTGGTAATGTGGTTAGAGATGGGATTTGAGCAGTAAGAGCGAAACTTACATCAACTCTATCATATCAATAGCAGGGGAGATGATCTGATGATCTTAGTCAGCAGAATTCACAATTCGTAAACCCATTCTTTCAAATGGCAAATTTGACCTAAATAATCATGTGACTTGGGCGTTGGGCTGCAAAGAATCTTACTTTGATTTTGCTATCAAGACGTAACTGTAGACTATGCAACTCTTTTCTATCATCGCGGTCCTCAACTGTCTTATGTACAGTTAGTCCGTGGTCAACCGAATTTGTAATTATCTCATACCTTGAGAAGTCTGGTGGTTTGGTTGATAGCAAAGCCCGCCGTAAGACCGATTCCAGATCTTGAACTAGTCAGCATCGCCCCAAAACCCAGGTAAAGTATATACGAGCACATACCGAATGGCATAGTTCATAGCATGCGAAGTGATCTGTTTGATGTTTGTTAGCACATGTAGCACCTGATGCCCAGAGAGACAAAATACCGTATGCAAAAAACGGTCCATTTTGGCTTATGATGGTTGATTACTTAGGGTCCGATTAGTTGGTCAAGAAGTTGTGATCAACTCGCCGTCCATCAGAATGAGATCATCTTTTTCGTTTGGCGCGTTGGTGTTGTCGCTTTGCAACGCAACGCGGTGAGAAGCCAGTAAATTTAGCGCGCTTTTGGTATGAGTGTGGCTATCGCTATCCAAAACCAAATTTGATAGATGATGGACAACACGGGATTCACGAATAAATGGATCAATTCTGATGAAAAGTGGAATGGAGTAGCTTACGGGAATTGAGAAAATAAGGAATTGACAGATTTTTTCGAGTCTACTTTGAGTCACTGCCAGTCACAGTCATAATTGACACCCAAAGTGACGTCGGGATTGGGTACAGCGTTCGTCAGCGTTCGTCAGCGTTCGTTACCGTACCCTCGGCCTTAAACCTTAGCCAGCCCAGCCCCCAGCCACACTTGACTTCACTAAATGACCCCTCGATAAAACGCAACCTCACGCCCCACCTCACGCTTTCATGAGAGAACACTCAGCCTGACAACCACTGAAAAACTTTATACCTCCCCTTCCCCCCACTCCATCCTCCACCCCCCCAATTCTCCTCTCTCTCCCATCAGCAATCATGTCGGATCTCAACTCGTGGGAAGATGATCCCGCTGCCCAAGATGACAACCTCTCGCGGCAGACGCAACAGATGAATTTGAACAATAATCCGCGACCCGCTCAAGGAGGGGCAGGCGCCGCCGCTCCAGCTTTCCGACCAGGTGTAAACTCCTTCCAGCCAGGAGCGCAATCTTTCCAGCCCGGACAGAGTTACCAACAGTATGGAGGAGGTTACGACCAGAGCACATACCAAAACCCTTACCAGCAGGGTGGTCAGGGCTACGGATACCCTCAATATGGCGGGCAACAGGGTGGATACCAGCAATACCCTCAAGCCGGTGGCTACAATGCGGGATACAACCAGAACGCTGGGGCCTATAATCAGGGCTATAGTGAGTTCTATTCCTAGACTGGCGACAATGTTGAGCACCAATCTTGTGCCGCAAACAATATTCGCACAGTCAACATCTCACCGCATTCTCTACGCACAACTGACTCTCCCTCTCCAGACCAGCAGTATGGCGGATATGCCCAACAATCACAAGCAGCCCCAGCTGCACAAGCCGCTCCTCGACAGACACCAACGATTGCGAAGCGACCAGCAGAAGGGTCAGCAGCAGCAGCGGAACTGAACAAGCCAGTCACCATCAAGGCTGGAGGACCTAAAGTTCTGAGTATCGGAGGTGACGCGCCAAAGCCAAAGGCGAAGGTTTTGTCAATTGGCAATCCAACTCCAGTCCCAGCGGCTGCCAAAAAAGAAAAGGATGCGCCTTCAAGCGCCACAGCGGGGGCCAAGGTGACCGCAGCAAAGGCAATTGAAAAAACACAAGCAAAGGGAGAGAAGAAAGACCCAGAAAGCGGAAAGACATCGCCCGCTCCTTCGTCCGGGCGATCGAGTCCATCGGCTGGAGCCGTCAAAGCTGCAGCCCGTGAAGCAGATGCGGTAGAGAAGGAACAGGCAGCAGATGTGGATGAGGAGACACTGAAGGAAATCTATGGCAAAGAACATGTCAATATTATTTTTATCGGACATGTCGATGCTGGGAAATCCACACTTGGAGGGTCCATCCTATATGCGACAGGAATGGTTGACGAGCGAACAATGGAGAAGAACAAAAAAGAGGCCAAGGAGATGGGCCGTGAGACTTGGTATTTGTCGTGGGCACTGGATCTCACCAAGGAGGAAAGATCCAAAGGAAAAACTGTCGAGGTTGGACGAGCGTTCTTCGAGACCGAAAAACGAAGATACAGTATTTTGGATGCGCCAGGGCACAAGACATACGTACCTAGTATGATTGGTGGTGCTTCTCAGGCAGATGTAGGAATTTTGGTCATCAGTGCTCGCAAGGGAGAATACGAGACCGGATTCGAAAAGGGAGGACAAACTCGAGAGCACGCCATGTTGGCAAAGACCCAGGGTGTCAACAAACTAGTGGTAGTCATCAATAAGATGGACGACCCAACAGTCGAGTGGTCCAAAGCCAGATACACCGAATGCTGCACAAAACTCGCTAATTTCTTAAAACAAACTGGATACAATCTGAAGACTGATGTGTTTTTCATGCCAATCGCAGCCCAACAGACCATGGGAATCAAAGACCGAATACCAAAGGGCGTCGCACCATTCTATGACGGACCATCACTTCTCGAATACCTTGACAACATGAATACCTTGGAGAGAAAGGTTAACGCGCCATTCATGTTGCCCATCAACGGCAAATACCGAGACATGGGTACGATTGTTGAAGGCAAGATTGAAGCTGGTGTTGTCAAGAAATCTATGGGTTTGGTTATGATGCCAAATAAGGAAAAGGTCGAGGTCGCCGCTCTGTATGGCGAGACGGAAGATGAAATCAACCTTGCGCAGTGTGGAGACCAAGTCAGACTTCGCTTGCGTGGTATTGAAGAAGAGGATATTCTTCCAGGTTTCGTACTCTGTTCGCCTAAGCGACTTGTTCACAACGTTACAGCATTTGAGGCTCAGATTCGTGTTTTGGAGCTGAAGAGTATTCTTTCCGCTGGTTTCAATTGTGTCATGCACGTTCACTCGGCTATTGAAGAAGTCACATTTGCCGCACTACTTCACAAACTTCAGAAGGGAACCAACCGAAAGAGTAAGGTACCTCCTTCTCACGCCAAGAAGGGAGATAGTATCATTGCTCGGATGGAGGTTATTGGTGGTGCTGGCTCGGTGTGTGTGGAGAAATTTGAAGATTATCCGCAATTGGGACGATTTACGCTCAGAGATCAGGTAAGTAAATCATTCTCGTTTGAATGATATCAGCTAATGTTTTGAAGGGACAAACTATTGCTATTGGTAAGATCACCAAACTCATCACCGAGGAATCGGCAGCTTAAGTAAGACAATCTTTGGGGTGATGTAATAAGTTGACGAGGCTTTTTTAAAGCTGAATGAGAAATGATTGATTTTTACATGAAAATTCATGTCCATTTGGCATAGGTTAGGGGTTGGTCTGCGAGGTAGATAAATGAATTTCAAAAAAAGCGTTATGAACATTTGAGCTTGGCAACTCTTGGAGAGTCATAATACCATGTCAATCAACTACAGTATTTCTGTTTTGGGATGTTTTACCAAGGCCGTTCACCAATAGAGTATGTACGAGATTCTCTATTGGTAGTTCGGCGACTGCATTTAGACATGTCACGTTATTTGACGCTGGAGCCTGAACCGTCCCTCGTTCCTGATTGGCCGTTCTCTACGTAAATGTCATAATGTACTCACTCAACTCACTCCCATCCTGTTGCCTCTTACTCCTTCCCTCGCCCCGTCCGTTTGTACTCCCTACAAATAATGCCCTTTCTCACCCGTTCCCCTTCTCTACTCATCAAACCTACTTGCCTTCTTCTTAAAACCGCTTATCTACCCTTACAATTGCACCAACACCAACACATTCACATCTACACAGCTTTCAACACCATGCCACCATCTAACTTCTCCGGCAAAGGCAGCATGCACTACACTACCACGAACCCTGCGTTGGCTTCTAGTGATATAGACGCGTTTCGAGATGTTTTGCGCAAGAGTAGGAGGGTTCTTGCGCTTTGTGGGGCGGGACTTAGTGCGGCGAGTGGGTTGGATACTTTTCGAGGGAAGGGGGGTTTTTGGAGGAGTGAGTTTTTTTTTTCTCTTTTGGTTCTTTTTATGAGAGGGAGGGTTGGTTGGGAAGGGGGGCTGGGGGTTTTGGAGGTTGTGAGGGGAGGTGGAGGCGCAAGGAAGGGTAAGGGGTAGATGAAGATGGACTAACGGATATACAGATTATAAAGCAAGGAGTCTAGTTACACCAGAGGCCTTTGAGGCGGATCCGGGATTGGTTGTGAGTTTGCCCTCTTCCTGTTCTTCTAGACTCTCTTAGTCATTCATGTGTTGTTTGAAGGAGTAAATGAGTGCTAATTACCTATGTTGTAGTGGCTATTTTACGCCTATCGAAGACATAAGGCTCTTCAGGCGAAGCCTAATGTGGCGCATTTTGCCCTGGCTGAGTTGGCGAGAAAGCGGGGAGAGGGCTTTTTGTGTCTTTCGCAGAATGTTGACGGTATGTCTCTTTCTTTCTTGCAGGTTCAGCCTCTGAAAGAAATTATGTGGTTTTGAATAAGATCGGAGACTCTGTTCATGTATGTTACTCGATGAAGAAGTTTCTCCCATCGAGACCTCGAAAAGACTTCCAGAACCAATTCCATCCCCTTCTCAACTCACTGCATCTCCCATCTAACAACCCCCAGGCCTCTCCCAACGAGCAAACCACCTCCCTTCCCAACTAAACTCCTCCACTCCACCCTCTTCAACCTAAAATGCCACTCCTGCACCTACGTCCAAACCGACAACTTCGACGACCCCGTCCACCCCTCGCTCCTCATCGACGACGCATCAATCATCGCCCGTCTCTCCCCAGCCAAAAGCTCCGTCACCGCAACCGCCAGACTACTCGATCCCAACTCTCCCAAGACCATCGATCCAGCTGAACTCCCTCATTACCCGGAATATAGGACTGGACTTCTGCGCCTGGGTGTGGTGTGGTTTGGGGAGGCGTTGCCGGAGGAGACTTTGAAAGAGGTGAATCGTTGGATTGAGGAGGGTCGGATTGATCTTATTCTTGTTATTGGGACTACGGCGGCGGTTTGGCCGGCGGCTGGTTATGTGAGGTTTCCTTCCTTATTTTCTCCTCTTGAATATCTGATTTGAGACGCACTCGTCTCTAGATTAACACATTCTCACTGTTACCAAACCCGCACTGACGTAACAAAGGTCCAAGAAGCCCGGCGAAAAGGCGCCAAAGTCGCAGTCGTAAACATGGATACCGACCATCTAGGTTCAGCAGGCAGTCTACGAAAGGGGGATTTCCTCTTCGTAGGAGATGCCGCGACGTTGTTGCCGGAGATGTTGCAGCCTATCGTGGGGATTTGAAGGAGTTCGTTGGTCAGGCTGCGGTACCGGTACTGGTACCGGTGTCAATGGAGAAGACAGCTGAAGTGGAGGGAGTGAAAGAGGATGGGAAGGATGTGTAAATGGATTTTGAGACTTCGCTTTGAGGGTAGCTTTTTAGGAGGTTATTTGTGTTTGTGGGGGTGGTTGGCTGGTAGGATGGATTGCACTACTACTATGTCGGGGGGATGGGGTTGGGTTCTTGATCTCTGGTTGTTGTGTATTTAACGGGCTTTGAAAACCGTAATACTATCTCAATGAATCTAACGCCTCACGGCCTCTTTTGTACATAGCAGTGGGGTAGCTATATATTATTCAAAAGCTACTACACACCTGGAGCCCCCTAACCCGAAATATCATCTCCGGGTCCCTGTCTCTTAGCGATATAATATGATTTCATGTTTAGCGAGCCCCTGATTCAAATACACCCGTTGTACAGGGATGTAGATGGATTTTAGGGGAGGGGTTGTAGGGTAGGTGGTAAGGTGGTAATGTGTATGATTTAGATGTGTTTGGGTTTAGGGATATTTGCGTATTCGTGTAGAAGTTATAGGATAGTAAGTAGAGTGGAGTATTTTGATGAGGGTAGTTGGAAATTACTTCACGTGTGCTAGGAGTTTTCTTTAAGGGATAAGGAGTGGTAGGAGATAGTGTAGACTCGGGATTGAACGTATGGTGTTGGCTTTTATGCCAAGTATATTCCGACTTATAATAAGTGTAAGAGCTCTTTTGGCGCTGAATGTAACATATACTCGGAATGTAATCTTACCATGCGAGGTAAACTTTTGTACTTATTATGACTCAAAATGGGTATAAGGAATGTTAAATGTAGCTTTGACAAGCACGGATTTTGCGTCACTTAAAGCTTGGATAGGGTGTTCCGTGCAAAGCTAATTACTACATTTAGAGTGATGTTTACTTTGTAAAACGTAGTATTCGTCGTACGAGCTAAAGGTTGTTAGTAAGTCTTACTTGTTACGAGTCGGTATTCATAACGGGTGTAAAATTTGGATTTATATAGTACTTTCTAAGATAAAGAGACTGTGAACTATACTACCCTATAAAAGAATTATACTTTATTATAGGTATATTAATTGTAATTTTCCTTGGGTACCTAGCTTCTATAGAGAATGGGGTAAAGACTCCTATAGAGTTAAGTCTTTTTATACCTAGGATAATATAGAAGGAAATCTTTATAAGAATACACTCGGGAGGTATATTATTAGTATACTAAGTGAGGACATCCTTATGGATAACTTTTTAGCAAAGGTAAAGAACGACCAGGTTATATAAAGCGGGTGGAAATTTAGAGCTGGACAACGTCTCAACTATATAACGGCTCGGCGACGAATTTCTTCTATGCCAGCGAATCAGAGACTCGAATTTGGGCGAGATAGACTTTTCCTATATATGATCCGCGTTATAGTGTCTAGCTTTAACTGTCCACACTTTTTTATCTGAGAGCTAGGGATAGTCTCTCATCGCAAAAGCTTAATCTTTGTGTGTAATGTTACTAGGAAAATAATAACGTGGTACCTAGTAATGCTTATGTATGATTGCATAGGACTACATGTAGAATTCCGCAAATCTGGTTGCTAAGTGTGGGTCTTACTTTTTCTAGTATTAGACTTTTACTTAGGATCTTATAGGTGTCACGAATCACGTGCTCACGTGATACTTGTCATAATAAAGAGGCGCAACCCTCGACAGGCACATCCAGGTTTCTTGTAGCAAATAGGGATGCGAGGTTCTTATAATTTTTCTTCTTCCTAGTATAAGTCTTATAAGAGCGAGTTTAGTTAGACTAAGCTAGTTAATAGATTCTAGCTTAAAAGTATTAGAAACTTAAATGTCACGAATCACGTGCTCACGTGATACTTGTCATAATAAAGAGGCGCAACCCTCGACAGGCACATCCAGGTTTCTTGTAGCAAATAGGGATGCTAGGTTCTTATAATTTTTCTTCTTCCTAGTATAAGTCTTATAAGAGCGAGTTTAGTTAGACTAAGCTAGTTAATAGATTCTAGCTTAAAAGTATTAGAAACTTAAATGTCACGAATCACGTGCTCACGTGATACTTGTCATAATAAAGAGGCGCAACCCTCGACAGGCACATCCAGGTTTCTTGTAGCAAATAGGGATGCTTAGACTAGCTAAGCGATCCAGGGATTTCCTTCGTAACTTATCACGTGACTAGTTGGATCGACTGGACCGACGATCGGTCTGAACTTCTGGAACGACAGGACCGACCAGCGGTCCTGGCAAAGTACAGGAAGTGAAGGGTCTATATAAGACTGGCACGTCTGCCATTAGATAGGAGCTTCGTGCTCAACTTAGTTATCAATCTTATCATATTAGTTTGACATCTTTGATACAAGTAACGAGTTCACTTCCAAGTGAACAACCCGATAGTCTTCTTCTTATCATAGCATACCAATGTCACGAATCACGTATTAGAGGGCATGCCCCGCGTCATGTGATGAGTTAGTTCAGACAGGCGTTCTGACAAGACAGGACATGAAGGTATTAGGACATGAGATGGCTAGCAGAAGCGGCAGCCAAGGAACCTGATATATGTCAAAAGATCAAGTAAAGCACTTCTTNGAAGGTATTAGGACATGAGATGGCTAGCAGAAGCGGCAGCCAAGGAACCTGATATATGTCAAAAGATCAAGTAAAGCACTTCTTTTGCGCTATGTATATAGTTGTAGATAGAAGCCAGACCGCCCAGGGGAGGAGGCTGCTGGTCACTGTATAGTGATGAAGTGAAGTGCGCTTACCAAATGCTGTAAGCTTACTTCGGCAGCTGCGCCGAAGCTGGACCACTCCGGCATAGCCGCCCTACGGCGGGCGGCTGGAACCGAGTATGAATAAATCAAATCAAATCAAGACAGGCACATCAGGATAGTTATAGCAAATAAGGATGCTTAGAGTAGCTAAGCGATCCAAGGATTTCACATGTATATGGTCACGTGATATATACAGGGCGACATGGTCGTTGTCGACTTTGTGACTTAAGGAGAACGAAGGTTCTATATAAGACTGGCACGTCTGCCATTAGATAGGAGCTTCGTGCTCAACTTAGTTATCAATCTTATCATATTAGTTTGAAATCTTTGATACAAGTAACGAGTTCACTTCCAAGTGAACAACCCGATAGTCTTCTTCTTATCATAGCATACCGACCAGCGGACACCCAGCCAAGTTTAGTTAGCCAGTTTGAGTATTCGTTACAATAGGACTACGATTACTTAGATTAGTATAACTAGTAATAATTAAATCTAGCAATTTAGTGTCTTCTAGATAGTATAGGCGACGTAGATAAATTAGAAACTACTATAGTTACTAATATCTTTTAGGTAAGATCTAATAAAAACCTATAGATTTTTATAGTTTTTCTTTCTACTAGTATAAGTGGTATATAACCGAGCTCGGTTTAATGTAACGAATACTCAAACTGGCTAACTAAACTTGGCTGGGTGTCCGCTGGTCGGTATGCTATGATAAGAAGAAGACTATCGGGTTGTTCACTTGGAAGTGAACTCGTTACTTGTATCAAAGATTCGATCCAACTTAATCATGTGACCATAACCAATGGAAATCCCTGGATCGCTTAGCTACCCTAAGCGATCCCTATTTGCTATTAGAAACCTGGGTATGCCTGTCGAGGGTTGCGCCTCTTATTATGACAAGTATCACGTGAGCACGTGATTCGTGACATTTAAGTTTCTAATACTTTTAAGCTAGAATCTATTAACTAGCTTAGTCTAACTAAACTCGCTCTTATAAGACTTATACTAGGAAGAAGAAAAATTATAAGAACCTATAGGTTTTTTTAGACCCTATTTAAAAAGTATTAATAACTATAATAACTTAGTCTTTAATTTATTTATATTACTTATATTATCTAGACTTATTCTAGTAATAGTGATAAATAGTAAGAGTTATATTCCGCTTAAAATATATTAGCTAGTAATTCTTATTATTATTATTATTATTATTCCTTTTAACGTGCTGTGTGAGTCTGAGACTATAGTAGCACGGCTGGGGGTTTCCCTCCAGCAGATAACTGAAACTGTACTAAATACATGTGTGAGAAGGGAGTTTTGGTGAATACAGTTATTGGGTTGTTGGAAGCAGCGAGGCTTCTGGTTATGACAAAAGAAAGACAAAAAAGAAAGTGTGTTTTAGTACGCCCCCTGCGTTTCACGCCCTATACCACGTTCATTCTCGTCCTCGTCCTCGTTCTCATCCTCAGCTGCTCGTTGTGTGTGCCATAGTCTAGTGGCGATTTTGGTGGTGCGAAGAAAGTCTAGTGTGGCCTCGACTCCTTTGGTGGTGTGAAGGAGGGATTTCATAGTAAACTCTCGAATGTGGTGTTTGAGGAGGTTACGCTTTAGTGCTTTCCTCGCGTCTCCAGTTTCTGGACAGCTAAGGAGTAGGTGAGTAGGCGTCTCTTGTCTTCCACATCTACAGCGGTTGTTGTTGGTATGGCCAAGCTTGTGTAAGTATGATTTGAAATATCCATGGCCTAGCTTAAGCTGGTAAAAAGCACTGGCTATCTCTCTCTTTGTTCCTTGAGGGACGCAAGGTTTCGACAGAATCTTCCATGGGAATTCCCTCCGATACGAGTGTTGATTGGTTGATGGTTCTGTAGAACGGGAGGGTGTAGCAAGCTTTTGGC